AATGTTCTTCTTTAATCCAGATTATCGCCTTTGCTTTGGAAGGCAAACATTCCAGATCCACACGTCGACCTAAGTCTTCAAATTACCAGAAGCTGGAACAACATGTAAGTTGTAGCAACAATGACTTACGACAAACCATCTTACTGCACAAACTCAATCTTAAGGAGAAAATCTTTGCCTTTATATTTAGAAAAATCTTTCTACAAAATGTGAGATTGTATATTTTTATGTCTCATTTTTTAAGAATCAATTGACATAATGAGAGATTGAAAAAACAACAATAAAGAACAGTTGAGTTATGCTGTAGCTTTAACCTGAGAGGGGAGTAAAAAGAGAGTCTGAAAGAAGTATTGATATGTCGGCTTTTAGCGCCTCAACAGTCACAAGACAACAGAATAAATGTCCTTACTGCGTCCAAAATCGAGCTGTTGCCACTTACACTTACTGAACTAACTGGATCTCTGCAGGTGTACAGTTCAGACCTCATTCCTCTCGGCTTCGTTAACAGAGAATTTGTAGCACAAACAACTGATTTGAATGGGCTCTCTGTCGTGGCCCAGGGAGCTGGTTAGGTGGGTGGTTCCAGTCTTTGGGCCGCACTGGGGCAGGATTAACGACATGACAAGGGAAGCCTGGATAATATACTAACATGAATATAAAGAACCGCTTCATCAGGAGCCAGAAGCAGGCATACAGGGAACAGCAGCTTATCAAAATTGTTGCAAATGGTATTTTGAAACTATCATTTAAACAATGTTAATTTAAGGTGAGGATTTTAGAGAAATAATTTACAGGAGTAATACTGGAATAAATATCTGTGTACATAAGCTGCCTCCATGCACTACTGTCCTTCCCAATATCACTAAAATACAAAAAATATGAAACATTTATTATGAAGTAATGACAAACCTCCGTCTGGACATTGGGGTGACAGAATCCAAACCAGTTCTTCTGCTTGACCTTTAGTGGAAAAGCCAAACATCTGACCATGGTGAGGCAAAACCGTCTTGATGTCCTCTAATTTCCAGTCTGAAGCCCTCGCTAAACTTGAGAGGAGACATCAAGAGCGACCGATCGACCAATCAGAAATGGACTTGGATTAGCTCTGTCTGGTTTTAGTCAGCCAATGCAAAAACTGAATGCTGTTGTAGTGCAGTGAAAATGTATTTTCAGTTTTTTAGATTTTTTTTGCTATCACATTTAAAGTCTTCATGTCTTTCAACACATTTTAAGATCAGACAAGGATAAACCAGAGTGAATACAAAAACCCCCAGCATTCAAATAATTTTATTTATTAAACTAAAGAAACTATTCAAACTGACCAGCAGTGTTTTATTTCTTTTATTTTTAATTATTTCAGATGAGAAGGTTTTTGAGCATGAACAGTTTATTTAAAATCTTGGCAGAGAATCTCAGTCGCATTTTAATCCAGACTTTAACTAGGCCGCTCCAAAGCCGTCATTTAGTTTTCTTCTTTAGTTGATTCTTTAATTTGAAATTCATAGGTAGACTTCAAAATTCATGCTTATGTCATCTGGGTCCTGAAGCAATAAAACACCCCCACACCATCACACTACCACCACCATGTTTAAACACTGCTATGATGATCTTTTTCACCACCTGCGTGGATGAGAGGCTCATCAAATCCAATCAAATTTTGGTGACTTTGAACTATTTTTCTTTCAGATGTGATCCAAAGCTGCCCAGAGGAGATGAGAAAACGGCTTTCGTAGATGGCGAGTGGATACAAATCATGGATCTGCACTAAGTAAAACGACCTGTTAAATCGACATTCTTCTATTCTCGACTTCTAAATGTTGCATGACTATGCAGACGACACTGATGCCTTATTGGGACAGGGAGGGAGTTAGAGGGGGCTGAGATGGAGTGGGAAGTAAAACAAAAAAGGAAGTTATGTTAAATAGATTTGCAGTATTTTGCACTGCTTTTGCAATCTGGCCTGTCGAAGGTCCTCACTCAGGATGTAGAAGTAGCAAATCAGATGTCTGCACTTCCGTCTTAGTTTATGGTTCTGGTCAGATTTCCACATGCACCCGAGTAAGTCGTCAATGTCGTGTTTCTGTTTAAATGCCTTTATTTGTGCTGTTTCCTTAAACAATCTGTTTTGGAACCACTGTTGAAATCTTGTCAGTCCAGTTATCGTATGCTTGGCCAGTGGTGACTTTTTGCTGTTTTGTTTTGTGTTTTTGTCTCAACTTATACCACTTGATGGGTTGGATCTGTTGTCCACAATATATTGTTTCTACCTTAAATTGCATTTTGTAGGGTGGGATTTGACTGCACCTTCTTTGTTTTGGTTCTTTCAGGAAAAAGATTGCTCTGTACATATGACCACTAAAATAAGAAGTTTGTTCTTTCCCCTTGAATGGATTTGTTTTTGTATTTAAAAAAAAAATGCCATACCTGTGCCAAATTATTCAAGGAATTATTGTGATTTATTGTGCTGCTGTCTTTTTTTTTTGTCTCATACTTTCAGTAAGCTTTTTTTTTTCTAGAAGTTTTGGTGAAAGAGAGAATAATGTGCTGCTTCCTGGAAGCCATGTTTGTAGTATGCCAAACAGTAAATTTTTTTTTGGTTCTCTGAGTTAAGTGTCACAATTATAGATAATTTCAGGAGGAATTTTATGGACATTCTACTGTTTTACTTCATATCAAATATGAACAGCTGACTGCTTATATATTAAAATAAAAGCTATTTGGTAACTTTCTTCTGTCACTTTTTTCCCCCTCTTAGAATACTTTAAAAAGTACATCTCTAATTTAATCCTTGTTTCCTTAAACAAGGATTAAGCCCAAAAAAGTCATGGGGTAAAAGGGCAAAAAAAAACAGTGCAAAATTACATTATCATTCCAGGACGGGGGGAAAAAATGCTTCTAAATATCTCTGGTTAAAGTAGATTTGCACAGGATGACTCTCAACTGATTGGGGAAAACAAGACATTTTATTATAAAATTTAATTTTCATCCACATATCTGGTTTTGTCTGCTCTGGTTTTAACCTGTCTGTCACTAGAGACAGACAGGTTAGACAGGGGTGTCAAAGTCCAGTCCTCAAGGGCCTCTGTCCTGCAACTTTTAGATGTGCCTCTACTGCACCACACCTGTAAAGAATAATTAGGTCATTAGCAAGGCTCAGGAGAACCGATCTACACAGGGAGGAGGTAATTAAGCCATTTCATTCCACTGTTTTTTACCTGTGGCACATCTAAACACTGCAGGACAGCGGCCCTTGAGGACTGGAGTTTGACACCCCTGTCATTGTGAATGACAACCTGTGAATGACAGGTTAAAAAGTGCCCTCAACTACTACAAGATTGCATGCTAGTCTTGCTTTATTTTAGCAGACACAGTACCTTGCAGCAGTTTTTCCCACATCCTGAATTTCCCCATGTTTTCTCAAATTTACAAGTATTTCATTGATATGTTATGAGGTACACCAATATAAAGTAACTTTTTAAGAGTTCACAGCTGGCAACTGTAGCGTTCATTTGAAGCTGATCCCACTGAGTTGATGCTTTTTTTTTTATGTACCTTTTGCTCTGACCGCAGTTTTCCGGTCCTCCCACAGATCATATATCTAGATTCTGACTGAAAGTTCTGACGCAAGATTATGCTTCGGTCTGAAGCTTCCTGTTTTTTTGAGGTTGTTCTGCTCAAAGGTGAACCTCAGCAAGTCTTTTGCAGTCTGACACTGGTGTCCAAACTCCACAGAGGTCAGCATGTAAGGGTGGGCATTTATCCTATTGTTTATCATTTATACTGTGACCTAAAAAAAAAGCAGCAATAAATAGTTATTAGTAAGATAGTAAGAGCAGTGAAATGTTCCACACCACAGCTTAAATTTTTAAATATTTCAGTACCCCTGAACGGTCATCTTGATGGACCTAATGCACAAGTATGCAAATAGTGTAACATTCGGCATGGATTTCAGCATCTGTAATTTTATAACTAGTTTCTGATCTAATCCTAACCTAATAACTGTCATCATTGACAACTGGACATTTTGAGCATTTATTCAATATCCTATAAACATTTTCAAGTGGCCACCTGTCTATTGTCTTCGGCTTAACCAAGATTGGTTAGCAGGTCCTGGAAGGAAACCCAGGCACTCTCCAGCACATTCTGGGGTTTCCCAGGTGGGATTGGTGAATTTTGTCAGACCAGACTGACTCATTTTGATGAGGAGGAGCTGCCCTGGTTGATGGAGCTCATCACCCTCCCACCACTAGCTTAGACCTTATGGCAAAAGCTCACATAAGCCTCTTATATCTGACCGGATCTGGTTCTTTCTCTCAGGATCTCACGACAAACACAGAATTTGTTCAATAAGTTAAGAAAAATATTAAAATATAGGACACACACAAACAAGTATTTATTTAGATTGTATTAAACAGTTTCTAAAACTCTCTCAGTGCCAGTAGGTCTGTCTTTTTAACCCAAAGGTGACTCATGTTTACGTCACTGCTCATCAGCGCCACAGTTTATCCCCCCAGTGAGTGTCTCTTCACAGAAGGACCATGTTCCGGGTCTCCTCTTCGTAAATGTCAGGTATCTCTCCTAAAGAAGAAGGCACCATCCTGACTGAACTGCTCCCACGCAGCTCCGCCTCATACTGGATGAGCTGCCTCCAGAACCCGGGGTTCGGCCTGACGATAGGCCGACAGCTCTTCAGCAGCCGGTGGGCCTCCAGCAGGCTGGCCCCGCGGTGCTTCATGAGATAGGCCAAGCAGAGGGCGGCGGAGCGGCTCACCCCGGCGTTGCAGTGCACCAGTGTGCAGCCGTGGCCCTCTGCTGTGCTCTGTATCTTATCCGCCACCTGGTCAAAGTGGTCCCTGAGCGGGGACTGCGGGGAGTCAGGCACCGGGATGTGGATGTACTCCACTCCGGGAGGAGGAGCAGCATCGTTCTTGGTTTCTGTGGCGTTTATGATGCAGGTTATCCCATTTCCAGTCACCTGGGAGCAGTCCTTAGCTGCTCTGCTACTACTCAGGAAAAGGTGCTCGGTGACCCGGCACAAGCCAGAGAGACTTGCGGTGCCAGGCTGATGCATAAACGATGAGAAAGAAAACAGCCGTCGAGTTTCTTTTAAAATGCGCCAACACAGAGCGCAGGCCTGTATGGTAACCGAGACGGATCAAATCTGAAGCAGCTCACGTTTCTATGTCGCCCCCTAGTGGATGACAATTTTTAAAACCTGAAGCTAAAATATGTCTGGTAAAAAATAAAGAAACGTTCTGGATTTATAAATTCTCTATTAAAAAATTACATTCCGATTCAAAGGGGCATTGATTCCACTATCACATTTTGGTTATGTCCAAAACTGTCGAGATTCTGTAAAACTATCTTTGGGATTTCTCTGAAATAAGTGGACACATTATAAATAACTGAAGTCACACAGTGAGGATTATGTAAATATGATTACCCTCTCTTATGGACAGGAGACTCATTCTGCAGCTGGAATTTCTCCTCTGAATCAGAGGTTTTGGTGATATCTATCTGCTACCTGACAACCATTATCTCCTTGCTAGAAACCACAACAGCTGTAAAAGAGAGACTGACTCATTGCATTAAATCTGCTGTTTGCAAATATAAGCTGTGGCTTAACATGTCAGCTGTCAGATGTCTCAAATATATTGACGTCACTTCTGCTTCTAATATTAATGTCTGTTCATAGAAGGAAGCCAAGAATAACTTTTTTTGAATTATGTTCACATCTTCTACTATTGTAATTCTGAAATAGAAAATAACAATAAAAATCAGTATGGGAATAGGCCCACATATAGTGATATTCAAGAAATTTTAGTATTATTGAAAAGTTCTTTTTTTTTTTAGTAACTCGATTCACTGAATGATGTACATGGAATCACGCGGAACATAACATAACATACACTGATGAATTCATGCGTTTATTTCTGTTAATCATGAAATGATGACTTTAGGCAAACAGCTGATGAAAGCCCAATATTTAGGATTAGAATATTACATCAAGAAAAAAAACAACAACAAAACAATAATGCAGAAATGTGAGCTTAAGGAAAATGTGTTTCTGGTCAGTGTATGATCTCTAACACACACTGTCTGTGTGTTGTTCTGTGGCAACTCTGCAAGAATAACATGGATGGATCAGAATCTTTCATTAGACCCAGATATTACTTGTTTAGAAATCTAGCTCACTCTTTTTAACTCTGGCAGCCTTCAAGTAAGAAAATCACTTTAAACCATTGTTTGGGTTAAATCTCAACCATGTGGAATTAAACCTATAACCCAAACTTGTGCTAAATTACCCCAGGAACTGATTGATCCATATTGAACTCAGGACAAGATCAGAAAAAAAAATAACCCACATTAGGTTGTCCTATATTTATTAATTAATTAATTAAATAAATAAATAAATAAATAAATAAATAAATAAATAAATAAATAAATAAATAAATAAATAAAATCGCAAATCTTTGCTAAAAGATTAATTTCATTGTTTGGCATATGATTAAAAGACGTAAAATAGCCCGGCAGCACATGTTATAAAAATGACAGTGCAGCAATCGTGTGTTGATTTGAGGTGGCTGCGGTGCATTAGCTGGCGCCTGCAGGCAATCCTCGGTTGCCCAGGAAACACAGATGGTGGATAAAGGGGTTGCATACAAAAGACCATAAACCTGTAGCAGCAGCTGGAGACCGAGAGCCGCTCATTCTCTCAGGACTGCGCAGTCCCGCTCATTCAAAGGAGCCTCTGTTCTCATTAATACCTTCGCTTCAACATCTTTGTCCAAAGCTTCCTGCTCCACTTTGTCCTGCTTCCCCCCCCTCCCGCGAACTGAACTGCGGTCTCCCCCGTCAGTGCGCAGCTGCTGCTGGCACTCCCACATCTGCTTGTTTCAGCTCGGCGGCCATGAAGAGGACGCCGAGCCTCGGCTCACGGTGAAAGGCTGGAGACTCGGTCCGAGCAGCGACCTCCTTTATGCGGCGAAGGCAGATAAACTGCGCCAACACAGCGGGTATGCTCATGTTGAACAGCTTTCTCCCAGAATGGAGGGATAAGCGGAAGAAAAGGAAGAAGCCATGATCTCTTCGCACCCTTTTTATGCTGCGGGACAGGTGGAACCTGAAGATCTATGGTATGGGAAAAATATTATTAATTTTGCAATACAAACGTTTTTTTTTCATTTTTAGCTTTTTATTTCCACTTATCAAATTACTCCAAGTATTACATGGGGTTTTCTGAATAACATCTCTGGTACTCTCTTGACGTAAAAGGCCCGCAGGTCTTGAGAAAAAAAAAAAAAAGCATTCTCAAATTCGTGGGCAGTTTTTGTAAAAATAAAAATATATGTAATAAATGTTTACAATGAATAAAATAGAAAAAAAAACATGGCCTTTCATCGTTGGGAACAGAGCCGGCCTAAGGCAGAAGCAAGCTCTGCTGGCAGGGTCTCCAGGCCAGCAGGGGGCCCTCAAGAGAGGTTTCCTTCTGAGACAGAAAACATGTCTCAAAACTTTGCTGTAGCATTTATCAAGCATTTCCCTGCTTTTAAATGTGCTCCTAATCTGTGTTAATGTTCAGGCAAATCATGCAAACAAAGATATACATAGTGTTGATAGTAATATTCAGCCATAATGTAACATGATTAGTTCAGTCCTGTCCTATTTCAGCCTCTCCGTGTCTGTAGTTAAATTTAAATAAATATGTCAGGGATTAGTGGGTAACTACCAGAGGTAGTTTTTGATAATAATGATGTGGCTCCTCACTTCTGCTGCTCCGCATAAAAAAAAAATAAAATAAATAAATAAATACCTGTCAGTTTAGCACAAAACCAGTCCTCTATTACTCATTTGCAGGGTTGACTGAACACCCCTCGTGTTTCACACTTTGTAAGCACTGTAAGTAATAGTGAGACTTTATTGAACTTTTATGGTTTTCTGTTTTATACAGTCTATCTTATAAGATAGACTCCGCATCTGATCATTTCTAGTTTAAAGTCTGAAACTCTTACAACAGTTTAAAGCTGAAATGGGTTATATCACTTTATATATTCGTTAAATTATTCAGGATTCAAAAACACTTCATTTTATTTGTGAAAACAGAAAAAGACCTTCAGTGTTTTTTTTTTCCAAAGGAAAGTGTAAAGGGCAACGCACACCGGCAGCTCTTTGCAGTGGTGCGGTGCCCGGCAATCATTCAGGAGAGTTTTGACTTCAGAACAGAACATAAAATAATTCAACCACATTCCAGCTTCTGCATCTGCTTGTCTTTTGCATAGCTTTGGTAGTTCATGTGGTTGCACTGCAGCAACCTTTCTGTTGGAAAAAGGTTAGATCTATCGATCTATCTATCTATCTATCTATCTATCTATCTATCTATCTATCTATCTATCTATCTATCTATCTATTTATCTATCTATCTATCTATCTATCTATCGCTAAGCTAATGTTTGTAAGTTGCTTAAAAGATGCTGAATTATTGTACATTGATTGCTGAGTCAGTGAAACTGTGAGAACTTGATCAATGTGATAATTGTGCACAAACAATTAAACTTCTTCCCCAACTCTACCCAGTCTGTACTGAAAAGCTGTTCATCAGATTTTAATGCCAAATTAAACTAATACGCCAGAGAAGTTAACACGTCTCTACAGTTTGTTTATTTTATATTTCAAATGCATAATGTCCACCTCTGGTCTGAACACTAAGGGCTGTAACACAGTTGTTAATCGTAGCGCTCTGATCTGAGATGGCACAGAACAGGAAGCAGAGAGGGATAAAGAACGACCAAAACTGATTGAGAATAATGTGTTTGCTGTTTCAGCTGACCAGCGTTGTACGGGCTGGACTCGTCCCCAGAGCTGCTGACATGGCACCAAACAGGACTCTGGGAGGACCCAACGACGGGGCAGGTTATGTGTTATCTTTGTTAAAATTGCTGGAGCAGATTAATCTTCACAGATCAGTTTCTGGCCATTTGGTTATCAGTGTTATGTTTTCGCCCGCGCATAATGAAAAGCTCTGACGGCCGGCGAAAGAATAGGAGCCAGGTCCCCTTTGGGGATCTTGCTAGGACAGTTGGGTTGCGTCCCACTTTTCTGCTGCTTTGTGTTGTGTGTCCCTTCTCCAGTTGCACTGATGAAAAAGCAGATTTGGCCTCAACCAGATCCCATTGTGCCCCAGCTGGCGTTCCTCCACCTCCTTTGCTGCGCTGCCTTATAGAACGGTACTGAATCTGCCACCTTCAGGGTGACAGACCCTTTACTTCCCTCATATCCATTTCACACTCTTACCCTATGGCTCTTTACTTTATGTCCAGATTCATTTTAACCACTCAGCTTAATTCTTTATTAACTCGGTGTCCCTCTAGAGACAGATTTCATTGTATTTGTGTTTAGCTCCTGCATTAGTGGAAACATGAGCTGCAACATGAGATTAGCAATGTGTTAAGTCACTGACATGTTTCTGTTGATGTGCCTCTACTCTGTGTAGGATTACAGTATAGAGATAAACCAACATGAAAGCATAGATCAAATCTGATTAACATAATCTGCTTTTCAGATTTATTTATTCAACATTATGTAGGATCATCCCAGAAAACATTTCTTTTTTCTTTTTTTTTTTTTTCTTTATGTGTCTCCTACACAGGCACCGAAACATTACTCAGTTCAGAAAGCATAACCCCTACATCCTAGTGATTTTACAGAGTGATGTGTTTCCATTCATTATTTCTGTCCACTTGAATGTTCACGGCTAACAAAAACTTCAATTTGCAGGCGGTATGTCTGGCAGTGTGGGCAAGTGCCAAGTCCTTTTTCAAAATAAAATCACCTTATAAACACATTGGAACATTGGTTTATGCATTTTCATCTTTAAATTAAGACTTTGGACCACTGAGCAACAGTTCAGTCCTTTTTCTTCTTAGCGCAGGTAGACATTTCTGACATTTTCTCTGGTTCGGGGGGTGGCTTAACGCAATGAGTGTAAAGGCTGTAACCCAGTGGTGTCCAAAGTCGGTCCTCGAGGGCCGACATCCTGCATGTTTTAGTTCTCTCCCTGGTTTAAAGCACCTGGATCAAATAATGGCTCATTAGAAGGCCAAAGAAGAACATTGACCTGCTGAAAAGGTTGTTACTACCAGCAGGGAGAGAACTAAATCATGCAGGATGCCGGCCCTCGAGGACCCACTTTGGACACCCCTGCTGTAACCCATGTCCCGGGTACCACACTTTTTCCTTCCACTCAACTTTCCAGAACTCTGTGAACAGTGAGTTTCTTTGGCAACTCGTTGTTTTGTTGCCCACCCTCCTTAATCATAAGAGCTTATTTATAATACAATTAGTTTTATGGCATTGGCATCTAAATTAACATGGATAAATTGTTAAAAATACCACTCTGACTGTTCGTAATCTGTATGAGTTTTACTGTTTGAACTGAATTACCCCAAATCAACTTTTCAATGAGTTTCTAACTGACAAAGATTCCCCCAGGAGGTCTGAAAAGTTGCAGGTGAATCTTCATTCGCTGTGTTTGGTCTGCTTCTCTTGCAGTGGCGGAGACGTGTGCCGTGATGCGTCCTCGAAGGAAAACCTTCAGCACTAGTGTGTCTCTCAACCGAGGGACGACTTCTGCTTCTGTTCGTCAGCCAAAAGAAATGAGCTATCGCTTTGCCGCCATTGTCCGTTTAATCACGTGTGGCTGCTGGAAGGGACTTCATTCAGAGCCGTCTGCTGCTCTGTTACAGCTATTTTATAGCTTAATTCAGTCCTTCTCCTGTTTCTATTTCTGTTGACTAGATGCATAGAAACCTGTACTGTAAATCAACTCCACCTGAGTTACATTTTTTTTTTTTTTTTTTTGCAATTGATCGTTTCTCCCAAGCGTTCACCTGTTTATGTAATGTTACCGTCTGTGTCTGTTTGTGAAAACTGGCCTGCAGTGTTTCCAGATCCAAATCTATGAGGGGTTTATATTTGAGGCTTGTACGAACAAAAATATTATGTGCTGGTGTGTGAAAATGACGGATGTTCTCACCTTCTGATAATGTGTAAATCACACATTTGTGCTTGTTGAGAAACCTCCCGAGCTCAACGCGAAACCAGCTATTTTTACTGTACTATTCTGCAGTTAAACTGTAGGGTGTGTGTGTGTGTGGGATGAATGCGTGTGTGTGTGTGTGTGGGAGAGTGCATGTGTTTCTCTGCATGCGCTCCATCTGTGTTAGTGGCAGTACCTGTGCACGTGTGTCTCATCAGTCCGATAAGACGTGTCTGTAATGGGCCTGAAATTGCCGCTACAATCCTTTTTAGCCACTGGATGTGCCAGATAAGGGATAAAACATTGTTTACTGATGATTCTTAGCATTTGTTACAGCCCCATTTAAAAAAACAAACAAAAACAAAACAAAAAAAACAAACAGTGCTACTTGTGATTTAGATCACAAGGATGTCATTGGAAATTAGTGTGGTGCAGTTTTCCGAATGACGCCTGCTGGCAAAAGTCAAGACGGTTTCAGTGCCAGCAGCCTCGTCGTTTAACACTTAAGCAAATTACAGCAAATGCTAATAATGATGCGTAAATAGCCTTTTACCCACGTCTGGATCGCACTAACAGTATCTGACTAATATCTAACAGTACTAACGTCTGCTAACAGTCGAAGGAGTACTAACCCGTGTTGAGAATGCACACGGCTTGGCACTTCTAACCCACTAACTTCCCGTTCTGCTTCATGCACACTTCAAGATGCACACTTCTCTTGCATGATCCTGCAATCCTTCTTTTAGAGGTGTCCGACGCGGAGATCCTAGAGCGAGCATGGAAAGAAGGGTTTCAGGACCCGGGGGAAGGGCAACGTTGAAAACCGAACAGCTAGAAGAAGAGCAGCAGCAGCTGCTGAGGTCAAACTCAGTTGACCACATACTGAAGCTGGAAAAGTGTGATCTGATCCCAAGTGATTTCATTTTAAAGGCTACATTTGCATGGTTTTTAATTATATATATATATATATATATATAAAGCAGTTTTCTCTCTCTCTCTGATTGTATTCTGTGTGGTCAACTCGGCCTTTTTGTCCCTGCAGGTAGTAACTAACTCCTATTACTGCTCATACTAACAATGTAGAGGCTGTTTCGGACCATCTGCCACTCTTACTAACATCTTCCTGTCGTCTGATTGAATTCACGTTAATTAAAGCATGCGCTGTGGTATCAGTGATGCTGATTATAAGACAGTCAACTGGCTTTTCCCTCCCCCCTCCCCCGAAAGCATCAACTTCCCCAAGTGTGTTTTAAGAGCTGAGTTGAGGTTTTATCTCTTAAAAAGCAACTTAAATGTTACTAACCAGAGGAGCTTCCAAGAGCTCTGCAAACTAACAAACTAACCTACTAATAAACTAATTTTCTAACCTTAACTAACTGAAATCACTAACTGTGTTTTTAATGTGACAGTCACCAGAGCACCTTCAAACCGAGGAGCTGCATCGCTTACTGAATGTATATAAGGGTGTTTGAACGGGTGTTTGAGAAGAAAGAGTGCATGCTGTAGTCAAAGTCAACAATATTTTGAATATAATTGTCATTAAAAAAATATTTTTCAAGGTTACATGTTTACACCAAAGTTGATTTGCGTAAACCTGAGCCATCTTCATTTTCCCAAGTTGGCGTACAATTTTTCACAGGAGACGGTTGTGCCGCTCCGCCAATCCGCGCCGTGTCTCACGATGAGCCTGTGCTGGAAGCTGAAAGCTGCCATAATGTGGCCAGCAGGTCCACAGGAGGGTCATGGCAACATTGTATGGAGGTAGTTTGCCTTGTCAGGCAGAGAAACAGGAAAAGTCAATGAATTTTGCTAGTCACTGATGATAGCTGTGCCACAAAGTGGAGTGAAATTTGATAAAGCATCTAAAGGGTAGATACTCTGATGGTCACGAGGAATCTATAGAGGTCAGTGAAGCTCCCATATTTGCAAGAGTGTCGTATTCAAAATGCCTGACTGCATGATGCTAGCTGTTTAGATATGAGCAACTTCCTGCAAGAAACCTACGAACTGATGTGCGTTTAGCGTAAAACGTTCCGCTCCATCAGGTGGGAAATGACCAAAACTACAAAGCCAAAAGATTTGAGGCCCAAAATTGAACAACGAATCCCCAGTTATTTCTCTGTTTTGTGTAAAAGGGGCACTACTATGTAAAATCGACTTATTTTTAACTTTTCATCGTGTTGTTCCCTCACCAAAAACATACCTGAAAGTGTTGCTTTCAGTCTTTCATGCATGTTTGAGAAATCCTTGAATCTCCCGTGGCAACCATTCAGCTGTATTATATGAGCTACGTCTCAGTGAAACAGAAATGCTATAAAGAGTTGATGGAAGAACATTGTTGTGATAACATCCCTGAAGGCAGAGTGTGAGAAAGAGCAAGAGTTTCCTAAAGAGACAGGTCTAATTTGAAAGTGTTAAATTACAAAGTCAAATTTCTTTTAAGCCATATTTGATCTATGCAGCATTTTTGTAACAACTGAAGGCAACATAGTTACTTGACCGTGCTTTAAAATGGCACTAAGTGGCTGGGGAAAAAAAACATAACACTGCCCTTTTTAAAGGATTTTGCTATTTTTTAGACATGCCAAGTTAAAGGAATAACTATGCTACGCATTTTAAAAAAATCTTAATTGAGGAAGGATTTGTTTTTGCTTTCAAAGTTATTTATTTATTTTTTGTTATTTTTGAAGACCCAGAACTTGAGGGTCTGAAGCTGACTTTAAGAGCACCTCTGGAAATATGAATTACCATAAACAGAAACTGAGCAGGGCTGAAAAACAACTATATGGAGCGCACTGTTGTTTAAAGAATGTTTTTTTTTTTCTAATAACTTGATCAACTCAATCCAATTACTTGCATCATTATTCTCAAAAGTTATAGGAAGTTTTAGCCTATCTACTGTTTTGCTACATAGAAAAAACATGTCGAGTTATTTTTCTGAATTACTAATTCTTTGTTTTTTTTTACTACTAACTATTGTTTTTATGCAATTAAGCAAACAAGAATTACTGTCACATTATAATTAATTTGAAATGTTTTGATCTTTATGAGAAAGAATGCTGTCTTGACAAGATATTTTTCTACAACTTTGAAAATTATATCATTACATTCAGCATTTTTTTTTTGTTTGCATCCGCATCGAATTTGAAATTTTAGTGACCTTCTTTTCTGTGTTCCTGTGAGAACCTTTGAAGGGAGACATTCATTTTATATATATTTAATAACGCTGGTAAATGATGGTGCTGCGGAGAGATGAAGCCACAGAGATGGAAAGGATTGTTTCTAATCATCAGATTCTCCTTTGCTGCAACAAGAGGTTGGATTGTTTCTGAGTCTTTAAGGCATTAAAGTCATTAAAACACACATTTTCTGAGAAATATGTTCAACAGTCAGCTGCACTAAGTTTTCTTTACTGTTTTGGCAATGTAAACATGTTTTTTTTTTTCTTTCCCAGATTATGTTAGTCATTCTGTAAATCAGTGATGGTAAATTGTCCCAGGTGCCACCAAAATACTTTGAAAATTCAATAATGTCTCAATAGTTCTCAGATCAGCCGGAAGAATCATGAATGTAAGAAATGTGTGAACTTTTCATTGCTTCATTGTCTGAACTATTCCTCTGTTAAGAGTTGGTTTTGTGTACAAATAAAGCATTTTTGTTGTGTTTCTGTTCTGGTATGTTGAAATAAAGAAACAATGTAAGACAAGTCAGGTTTTCAATAATAACCAATGATAAATCAGAAAGAAAGTTTTCTGAATCTGGTTTGAAACAGATATTTTTCTTTGTTCCTCCCATTCTGTTCTTTCTTTCCTTCGTTCTGTCTTTCATCCTTTCTTCCCTTCTTCCTATCCTTTTATTACTGTTGTAAGATTGAATATCATCACAGTTTCTGCAGACAATCTGTGAGTCTTAAATAATTCTGATGTTTATTGTATACTTAACACCAACTTTAATCAATTAACAGTTATTTGCATGTTATGTCGGATTGTAACAGCAATGTTTTACTTTATTAGGTTTCAGACAAGGACTGTTTATAGTTAAAAATATTCTTAAAAAAACACATACTTTAGCGTCTTCGAACAGATTCGCTTGAAGGCCAGTTTATAGTATGAATATATTTTAAAACAAACTACACACTTTTTCAGTGTTTCATTTGCATAAGAAAGGATTAAAAACAATTAAATTAGAGTATTTTTTTTTATCCAGTAATTTCTAAGATGATCACTTTTAACAATTGCTATCTTAGTGGTTATATGACAGAAATAGAATCAGTAATTGCATGAATTTGTATCAGCTGAGTGTTTTAAACTTGTTTTCATGTTTTGTGGACTCATTTCATTTATTTTAGTAGGCAGATTTTGTTTGAGTGATTACAAATGGAAATTAGCTATTGGATAATTATTATTATTGTTATTATTATTTTAATACACGTTCCTCAATAAATAAACTTGAACGTGCTAACTGTTCTGCCTATATCATGGACATATTTTTACATGCAAATACGCAGGTTTCCAGCAGAGGGCAGCATCTCACCAGGCATTGTGTTTTGTGCAGTTTGCTCCATCGATTGAGGTGTTAGATTTCGTGCTGATATATTCACATTCATGTAATAATGGCGCAATGACATCACATTATTTGGTAATCAATTATCTAATAGAGAATTTCGACAGCTCTTCATTTAAATGCAAAGAGCCCCTTTTAGGTGGACCAGCAAGTTTAGAACTGAACTCAAAAAGAAGAAGAAGAAAAAAAAAAAACTTTCAGCGCTAAAAATTGGATGCTCTCTGTCCCGGAGTTTATTCTCCAAAGACCAGATTCAGATTTTCGCTGCAACCAAAAGAGGCTTTTCATGCTCACACGTAAACCACTCCCACTTGTAAACAGTTTGACGTTGCAAGGGCTGCTCATTATAAAGTTTAAAAGGCACCAGCAGAGGGCGCTTATGCGACAGGTCAATCGTGAAAAACAAGGAATATTGGAGCATAAAATCACTATAGCAGCTCTGCAACATGCTGGTGCAGCTCATCCCAAAACATTATGTTCTGAGATGCTGCAGCTTATGCTGCCTGCAGACATTACTTCCACAACTTTTCCATCTAAAACAGCATTCCCGGTCAACGGGAAATCAGACTGTTACTGCCAAGGTAGATCATAACAAAACAGAGCAGAAGGCAGCTTCATCCCAGTGGCCTCCTCCTCTGTTTGGATCAGACTAATGGATCTCTGCCCCTCCCTCACTTGAGCGCCGATGCGTTCCAGATGACGAGGGTTTCGAGAGGTAGGAGCAGCAGGGTCCAGGTCTTCATGGGTCAGCTGTAATTCACCGCAGAAACTCAGAGACCAGAGTCCAAACTGAAGTCTTGGGGCTAAGTTAAGGTC